CTCAAGGCCTAAGCATCTGGCCCAGCTCATTGTCTCCTACCATCCCCACCCTCCTTGTTCCTTGAACAAGCCAAGCAGATTCCTGCCCCAGGGCCTTTGCTCCTGCTGCTGTTATCTGCCCAGAAGGCTCCATCTAAATTGCCTCAAAATTGGCTCCTCCTCAGAGAGGCCTCCCTGACCCCCCAGGTCCTTCCCTGAAACAGTGTGCAGCTGTGCAAGGCCACCTGTCCGGTGTGGCTGCCCAGGCTCCACAGTGCCTGGCACGTCCCTGCGTATTGAATGAGTGTGTATTTCTCCAACCTTTGGAGCCGCTGTTCCTCAGGTGAGGACGCTGAGCTCCAAGGTGCTAAATAGTTCAAGGTCACCCAGCCATGAGGCTGGGAGCCCTGACCCCTGGCTCTGGGTTTCTCCCAGGAGGCAGCACCCCCTACCCCCCCCCCCCCACACACACACTCAGTGGCTGGCTCTGCTGTGTAGACGGGAACTCTGGTGTCTACACTAGCACAGCCCAGCAGAAACACTGGAGCAACGTGGCATTTCACATTTTCTAGTAGCCACATTAAACAAAGGAAAAACGAACTGGTGAAATGACTTCTTTTTTTTTTTTTTATCTTCACACGAGGATATTTTTCCATTTTTTGTACAGATAGAGTGGGAGGGAGAGAGAGAGAGAAACATCGACGTGAAGGGACACATCGAGTGGCTGCCACCCGCACGACCAACCAGGGCCGGGGACAAACTGCAACCGAAGGTACGTGCCCTTAGCGGGAACCAAACCCGGGTCTCTCCAGACCGCAGGCCGACACTCCAACCGCTGAGCCAAACAGGCCAGGGCAGTGAAATTAATTGCAATCATATAGTTTATTCAACTCAGTATTTCAAAAATGTTACCATTTTCACATGGACTAATCTAAAACGTACTCACGAGAGATTTTACGCTCTTTACTCTCACACTGGGTCCTGGGAGACTGTGTTACCGCACGGCACAGCCCAGTCTACAGCGCCCACCGGGGTGGCTCCCACTGCGGCCGGTCCAGCCCTCCCTCCCTCGCCCGCGGGCACCCCCTGACGCAGGCCTTCATTCACAGAATATTCACAAATCTGTTTGTGTATTTAGAAAGTATTTAATAGGGAGTTAAAAACAACACGAATGGCTGCCCTGCTCACTGGCAGGCCTCTGGCTTCCGGGAGCCTGAACTGGAAGGGCCTGATCCCTGCTTGCGGGCCTGGGGCACCCTTGATGACTTAATTAACACCCACTCAGCGGAGGCTGCTCCGGGATGAACTGAGAGCCTTACCGACTGCTCTGAAATGCACTCGGGCACCGGCAGGGGCCTGGGTTTGGACGCCCTTCTGGCCCCACCTGCATGACCCAGGAGCGGGCAGCTGCACCCCGCCCGGGACACCAGGGCTCTGCAGGTGCACTGCTCAGATGCAGCCTTGCACTCAGGGCCATTGGTCCCCATTTTCAGAACTGAGACTAGGGGCCGCCGGGCCTGGCAAACCCCTCGCACTTTGGGGCCAGGGATCAGCTGGGTGTGGGCACTGGCCGCGGGCGCCGCTGCCTAGGACAGCGTCTCCCATCTGCTCTGGGACCGTCCACCAAGGACGGGTCCTGGGGGGATGCTGGCTGCACACATGCTGGGCTGTGCGATGCTCTTACTGAAGGCACATGGTCTCCTTCCGTCCCTCCATGGCTCTGAGGAATGGACCGGGTCTTTCTGGAGCCTCCTTGCACACCAGGGAACCTCGGGTGGGTGCCCTGCCAATTGCCTCAGCCGGCACCGGGCTGCCATCTGCGTCTGCAGCTCCTGGCTCACCGTGATCATGGACCTGTGCGCCTGCAGGGCAAGGCTGGGACTGGGAGGTGGCCGCCAAGTGCCCCTCACCTCCCACCAGCACCTCTGCAGCCTGGAGGGTCCCTGGCATCCCTTCTTCCACCAGGGTCCCTCCCGCGGGCCTCCCGACACATGCTTTTGGGGACCCGCCTGGCCCTGGCCTGGGTCCCCGCCCACAGAGCCCGGAACGGTGTCTGTGCTTCCTCTGACTCAAGTATCTTTAGTCTCATTATCAAACGTTTGCAGTGATCCGTGTGGACCTAATGGGGCGGTTCCGGGCGAAAAGCAGCACGTGGCCTGATCCTCAGGGAGCAGGTGCAGCGCCCCCTCCCCCCCGCCAGGCCGCAGAGAAGGTGCCCTCTCAGCCGAGCATCCCCACCCAAGCCTCACACAGCCCCTCTCCAGGAGTCCGGATAGGCGGGTGTTGAAGAAGGACCAGGGTCCGGGAGGGAGTCCATGTGGGAGGGAGGGTTCTCGTCCAAGTTGGTGAACTCTTGGTCAAGTCAGTCCTGTCTCCATCTCCAGTTCTCGAAAACGGAGCTTCTGCCAGTTTCTCCCAAGGAAGGGGTGGGGGTGGGGCAGGCAGGGTTAGGGGTCCCTGTCCTACCCCAGGGAGGGCCTTGGTACGCCCATGCACATGGTGTCCTGATTCCCCCCGGGTGGCTGATTTGGGGCTGCAGAAGTTTTTGCCACCCTCACGCAGCGGCTGTTGTCCTGGTTGCTATGACTACGAGGACTAGTTTTATTTTTAATAGCGGCCTGTGATTAGAGAGAGAGAGGGAGGGAGGGAGGGAGGGAGGCCCCCTCGCTCCCCTCACAGCATAGTGTGTGCCGGGGGAATGCACCCAGGCTGGTCCCTGCTCCCCTAGATCTGGTCTTGGAGGCTCCTCCAAGGCACCCCCTTCCACGTACCCAAATCTCCCTGCTGGCCCCAAACTCCAGCGCCAGGCGGCTCAGAGGTGGCACGGACCCCCAGGCGCAGACCCTCTAAGAAGAGGTTGGAGGTTTCTCCTTGGCTTCCACACCCACTAACAAAGCCAGTCCTTTGATAACCCTGGAGAAATGTCCTTGGGTCCTCTCCGCCCTCGAGGGATGGGGGCTCAGCTGGACCTGTGGTCACTCCCACATGCTCAGGGCACAGCTCCCACGGCTCCGGCCAGGGTCCTGGCAGTGCGGCTGGCTGCCTTCCAGAAACTTCCAGTGGTCCCCCTCCGGAGCAACAGAAGGTTCTACCTGGACAGGCAAGTGGCTTTCATGGCTCCTAAACGTTTCCAAGTTCTCCCTGCTGCTGCCTCTGTTCTCCATCCTGACCGTCCAGGGGTCTCTGCCGGCCGGGGTCGTGTTGCTGGTGGGAGGCTGCAGGTGTGTGGAGGCCTGTGAAGGACCGTGACGACCGAAGTCCTCTGGAGCCACAGGAGAAGCTCCCCACTCCCAGGTATTTGGGAAAAGGCAAGCACCCCCAAGCCCCTCCTTTGAAATGCCAGGGACCGCCCAGCCCAAGAGCAAAGTCAGCCAGTGGGGCTGCGCCTTTGCTGCCCAGGGCTGGGGTGCGGACTTCGCTGCCGCCCACCCGCCCCAACGGGCGAGGGGCGTCTGCTGGTCTCCAGGATCCTTGGCCTTATGGCTTTGGGGTCGCTTGGGCCGTCTAGAAACTCATCCACCCCCTCGAGGGACGAACACTGGCGGGTGACAGGGCCGGTCGCCAGGGTCCTATCCCACCTGGTCTAGGTGGGCTGAATTCCACCCAGCCCCGGCGCACCCGCCCTTTCGGGTGGAGCGGTCCAGCCGCGCTCAGGCCTCCGGCTCGCCGCCGTTCCTGCCCCCGCACAGCGCTGTGTCTCGCCTTGGCGGGAGGTGGCGCTCTCCGCGCCCAGCGGATCCCGGCGCCCGAGGCTCACACTCGGGGGGTTCCTTTTCTTTCCCTTCCTCGCTACCCTGTCCAGTTCCCGGCTTAGGCCGCAGTCCGGCCTTCCACGAGGGCGTGGAGGCTTGGGGGACGCGGGGTCCCAGGGTGGGAGGAGGCGCCCTGCAGCCCCTGGGCGTCCTCGCATCTCATCTCGGGATGTGGGTGGCGGTTCCTCATGCAGACGCCCCAGGCCTCGGATCGTGGGCGGGGGCGCGTGGCGGCCACCAGGTAAGTGCCGCAGAAGGCCACCAAACCCGCCCACCTTTCACCATAGCCTCACTCCCCCTCCTTTTATGGAGCGGGGGAGGCAGGGGCCCTGGATCCCGACCGTGGAAAGAGGCCCGAGCGCCGGGGCGGGGGGCGGGGGCCGGCCTGCTTTTGCCCTTTTTGGCGTCGCAGCTCTGGCGCTGCTCTCTGCTGCCGCTGGGGCCCGATAGGCGAGTCGGCTTCTGCGGCGGCCTCCTCCCCTCCCCGACCGGTGCCGCAGGATTGCAGCTGGCTGGCACTGGAGGGTGGGCAAGCTCGAGGGAGGGGCGCGCGGAGCCCGGCGGCTGTGCTCGGAGCCGGGCGCGAGGCTCGGATGGATTTCACTGCCCGCGTGAGCCCGTGTGTGTGCTCACTGCGGCGGCGGCGGCGGCGGCGGCGGCCGGGCCCGGCCCGGCCCGTGCGGCCCCCGCGCGCTTCCGAGGTGCGGGTCCCGGGCCCGGAATCCGGGGGAGGCGATAGGGAGGGGGCGGGGGAGGGGCGCGGCGGCGGCGGCGCTATAACCCCCTCCCCGTCGCCGGCCGGCTCCACACGCGCGCCCCAAGGAGCCCGTACAACTCCGGCGAGCCGGGCCTGCCCGCGCCTGTCCCTCGGCTGCTGGCAGCAGCAGCGCCGGCTCGCTCCTGCGCCCGCCCTCGGGCCCGCGCGGCGAAGCCCCGCGCAGCCGGCGGCTGCTGCCCGGCTCGGGCCGGCGGAGGGCGGAGCACGGCGCCGGAGCCGAGGGCACGCCGCGGAGGGGCGCACGCAGGCCGCCGGGCCGCGCTGTGCTGGGCCGCGCCGTGCCCGGCCTGGCGGCGGCGGTGGCGAGAAGAGACCGGAGGCGAGCGCAGGCCGCCGGTGGGCGCGCAGGGCCGCCCGCAGCCCCCAGAGAGAGCGCGAGCCTGAGGCCAGGGCCTGGCCAGGCGTCCAGACAGGTGATGGGTGGTGGTGGTGCGGCAGCGGCGGCGGCTCCAGCCTCGCTCCAGGCTCCCTCTCGGGGCTGACGCCCGCCAACGTGCAGAATTACCGGCCAGGTCGCTCCTAGAGCCCGCGCCCGGGAGCGAGCGCGGCGGCGGCCAGCACCGGGAGCGCACCAAGGAAGAGGCCCAGCCCCCGCCCTCCGCCCCTTCCGTCCCCACCCCCTACCCGGCGGCCCAGGAGGATCCCGGCGCGACGGGCGCGGCGGGCGCGCACTCCCCGCTCCTCCTCCTCCCTGGCGCTGCTCGCCTTTCTGCACTCGCTGCTCGCGCCGGGCGCGCTCCACCGGCTCGCTGCTCTCCGCGCCACCCTCTGGGCCGCGCTCCCTGAGGGATGGTACTGAATTTCGCCGCCACAGGAGCCCGGCTGGAGTGCCCGCCCCGCGGCCTCGCCTCCTCGCCGAGCCGCCAGCGCCTCGGGACGCGATGAGGACCTGGGCTTGCCTGCTGCTCCTCGGCTGCGTCTACCTCGCTCATGCCCTGGCCGAGGTGGGTGCCGTCCCCAGGTCCCGTCCCCTCTCCGGCTGCCCCGGCGCACGCCCCCTGCGGCCGCCAGCGGGTCGGGGAGTCCGGGGCTCGGGCTCTGCAGAGCGCGTTTTGATTTTCGTTCGGGTGGTCGGTTTTTAAATTCTCCCGACTGGGTGCTATTTTTTGCCCAAGTGTGTCTGGTGAGTTTCAGCGTGTTGCGTCGCTCTGCCCGGGAGGGACGGAGTGGCGGCGGGGTGGAGGAGCGGGGAGAAACTTCGGGGGGCGCGGGCTCCTCTCCGGGGAGGGAACCGGGCGCGGCGGGCAATGCAGAAACGGGGTGCGGGGAGTGCGGAAGGGGGTGTGTGTGAGCTGGTGGAGCCCGGGGAGGGGGGAGAGCGGCCGACAAACAGGTAGGGACCCTGGCAGCCAGGGTGGGCAGCGCGGAGCCGCAGCTCCGGGCACCCGGTCCCCAAGCCTGGCTGGGCGGCTGGGCCGGCGCAGTCCCGCCCGCCCTGGGCCTGCTTACAGGTGGCTGAGCGAGGCGAGCCGGGGCCGGGCAGGCGCCCGCGCCCTCCCACTGCCCGCGTCTCTCCCCCTCCCCCCTCGCCCCCCATCTCGACTCCCGAATTCCCCGGAGCTCTCCTTGATGAATGACTTTCTCCGGCCCCCCGTCGTGGGAACTTCGTGCTTGAAACCTACGCCCCGCGACCCCCGAGTCCTTTTAAAAATCGGGACGGATCGGGGGGAGGCCGAGTGGTGGGGTTGTCTGGGCAGGGACCCGGGAGCTGCAGGAGGTAGATATTTAATCCTCACATTCCCTGCAGCCTCCCCCAGCCGCTGGCTGGATTTGGGGCGTCCTCGTCGGCGCTAGGGCCGCTGCTGGGCCGGAGCGGGGTGGGGCGAGTGTGGGTGTGAGTGTGTGCGCGCGCGCGCGTGTTTGTGAGACGGAGAGACCCTCTCCCCCGCAGGTTCGCCTGGGATTCCGGGGTGTGAAATTTAAGCCCCTGGCTAGATTAAAGTGTTAGGGCTGCCGTGACTTTCCTCGCCCATCCGTGACGCATTTCAACTTGATCTTTCTGCACGTTGATTTCACTATTAAATCAGCAACTCCCCGGGCCCCCCGGGCCCCCAGACGGCCTGTAACGGACACCCCGGGCAGAGGGGCTGGAGGGGGGGGCTTTTGTTTGAACATTTAAAGGTGGGGCGGGCTTTTTTTTGCAAAGGGCAGACGTGGATGGGGATGGAGAATTTGGGGGTCTCACCCAGCCCCACCCCCGGCCTCCGGCTCCGTGGCCCCGGCGGGGACCCGGCGGCCTGGCGGGTGAGGTGCCCGCGTGGGGCGGAGCCGGGAGCCATCTCCGGCGGGGACCACGCGCTTTGGGCGGGGGCGCGAGCCGGGCCGCGGGCGCTGACCGTGTGGCTCTGCTTGCAGGAAGCCGAGATCCCCCGCGAGGTAATTGAGAGGCTGGCGCACAGTCAGATCCACAGCATCCGGGACCTCCAGCGACTCCTGGAGATAGACTCCGTAGGTAAATCGCGCCCCTTCCCTCGCGCGCGGGGAGGGCGCGGGCGGGCGGGCAGCGAGGTAGCCGCGAGCCGCCTCCCGCGTTCGGCCGGGCGCCGCGCAGGAGCGCACCGAAAGGTCAGAATCCAATCCCGGGCCATAAAAGCCCAGGCGGATGAGTCAGGAGTTTCTCTTCCAATCACCACTTTCTCTCCCAGCGGCGGCCAGGGCTGCTCGCTCGCCCAGAGATTGTTTTTGCATTTAAGGAACAAGCCGCGTGTGTCACAGAAAGTTCAGCCGCATAGAGGGCGCCGGTGCCCCGGCCAGGTGTGCCTGCCTGGGGCCTGCCCTCCAGCCGGGAGGAGGGGCCGGGAGCTGGTCCAGGCCCTGGGCCCAGAGCCATAAAGGTGGGCGGGGGTGAAGGAGGGGTGGACGGGCCCTGGTCGGGGTCCCTGTGCATCCCCAAGAACGTGCGCTGCTTCTGCCCGGGGCTGGGCTTTTCTGGTTGCTGGAGGCCATGTCTTCTCTTTTTTCACGAGCCAATAAAAAGGCGGGCCTTGGACACATCTGCTGTTTGGGGACTATTTCGGGGCTCGCCCGCAGGCCCTGGAGCCCAGCCACTTTGGACGAGTTTACTTGTGAAGTAGACTGTGGGCGCCCTGGAGTGCCTGCTGCAGTCAGAGTGGCCTTGGCCAAGGTCTCGGGGACCCGGGTGGCTGGTTAAGGGGAGCCCGGGGGTGGTGGTGGCTTTGCTGGGGTGTGGACCAGAGAGAGCTCCGTCCAGGAGGCGGACAGGGATCCTGGCCTCCTGGTTGTAGCGTGGGAACTCCAGGGTCAGTGTTAACTGGGGAAACACTCCTATTAGGAAACTGACTATTGACCAGTGAAACCGGGGCCCACAATGAGCTTGTCCACGGAAAGCGGCCGGGTGGGTGGGTGGGCAAGTGGGCAGATCGGTGAAAAGATTTCTCTCCGAAAACTACTCTGGCAAAGAGGTGGGGGTGGAGGAATGGAGGGAAATCACAAGGTCTGGCCATTTGGAAATTTGTACCTAATTATGGTGGCGGAGAGGCCTGAGCTGTTTGTATTTCGTGCCGAGACCGTCTTGCAGCGAGGCCGGCGGTTTCTGTAGTTTCTTGACCCAGGAAATCCTTTGGCTGATCCTTATCGGGAACTGGGTAGAATTTCACTTGGAGATCAGGGTTTGGGCGGGGATGGGGGGGTATCTGCCCCTTGATGTGTAGCCCTGGGGAGAAGGGTTTGTTTCTGGTGAGCCAGGAAGGCACCCACCAGCCGGCTGCTGGGCCCAGTGCACTTGGGAAGGTGGGGGAACGGCCTCCCAGAGAAAGGGCTACAGCTTCTGCTCGGAGGGGGGTCTGAGAAGTGCAGGGCCCCCAAGCTGGAAGGCTCTGGGACACCACCGGGAAATGGGCCATCGACTTTCTGCAGCGACCATTCTTATTCTGGTCCTGCAGCCCCGCCTTCCCCAACCCCCACCATTAATGCTTTTAGCGTTGCTCCTGGAGCTCTGCGGATGGCATTCCTGACCTGGGGGCTTCTGGGCCCAGAGCCTGGGGTGGGGGGGGGCGAGTGTCTGAACCGAAAACGCCAGGATTCTCCAGCCAGTCTCAGCGGGTTTCAGATCCTCGCCTCATAAAAAGCCCCAGGAGTTCACATCCCTCCCGCCCCAGGGACAGGAGTGGCCGCCCCGTCCGGATACCTGTCAAGACTTTCTGTGCCTGGGAGGTTTTGGGTGAGCAGAGAGGACCTCTAGGATGTTCCTTGCCACTAGCTTGCCCCTCCGGTGTCCTTGGTGACACACAACCCAAAGTATTCGTCCTGTTCCCTCTGCTTTGAAAACCAGAGAAGACCTCAGTCTCTCGGGAGCACAGGGCTTGCACCTGTTACTCCTGGAGCTTGTGTGTGTGGGGTCTTCCCCCAGCCCCTGTTCCCACCCAGAGTGGAGAGTGGAACCCCAGCGGGCTGCTGGGGAAGGCTGTAAGCAGCTGTGGAGGATCAAGCTGCCCTCCGGGCCTGGGCTCCCCACTAGGTCTCATTGTAGGTCCGTCTGGGGTCAGTGGGGAAGGGGCGGGGGTGCAGAGGAGTCCGCTGACAGTCTGCTGCCTCTGCAAGTGCAGGTGGGGACCCCTTCCAGGTGGACCTGAGTGGGAGGCTAAAGCCCAGGAAGCAGAAGTGTTTCAAACAGAGGGGCTCCTTCCTCCCGTGGACGGGGCTTTGCAATTGGCTTTTGGGACTGTGGACTCCTCCTAGTGGGCGGGCTGCAGTCCCATCTCGCAGGTGAGAGGCAGCTGGCGTCTCCGACCAGGTGTGGCTGGAGGCCTTGAGGCACCGGATTCCCACCCCAGCTCAGAAAATCCCCGAGCCTGCGAATTCCTTTCTGAGTGTGCAGGAGGGACGGGGAGTTGACTTTCCACGTGTGTGGAGTTTGGGGCCTGTTTGTCCAGTGGCCTCCGAGCTTTGTTCTGTGCCCGCGGGTCATTGAGTAAACGATACATAAATATCCCATCCCGGCCCACGGCCCATTAACGTCCCACCAGGGCTGATGGCTGGAGGGCTTCTTTTCTCTGCAGAGGAGACAAAAGGGTTAGCTGTCGGCAGAGCAGTCACAGGGCGGGATTTACCGGCCTTCTCCTGTAAGTCCCTGCCAACCAGCACCACGAGGCCGCTTCCCCGTGTGCGAAGACTGGCTGGTTTGCTGACCACCCATCTTGATGGGGGGCGGAGGGTGGGCTTGTTTGACCAGAAGCTGTTTCTACTCTGTCTCTTGTCCCCAAAACCAGTTCAGATTTCAGCCGGTGCATGAACTGGGAGGTCCGTTGTCCTCTCTGTTCATTAGGCAGGCGGAGGCCTGGGCGGGAGCTTGAGCTGAGCCTGGACACAAGGTCCTGCCAGTGTTTGCCCTTGCTTGTCACGCCTTCTCCTGGGCCGCGGTGTCCTCGGGCGCGGACACCGGTGCCCACCGCACACCGGACGACTCGGCGCTGACGGAAGCAGGCGGCGCCGGCCGCAGTAGGGCATCGGGGAGTGGGAGCCGATGTCACTGGACTCTCTGAGTGCCGAGACTCTGCGGACCAGCTGCTCTTTGGTTTGGCGATAGCGAGATGACCACCACCAAGTCATGACTCATAAATGTCACTTTTTCATGAAAGAGTGCTTCTTGTAACAGTTGGGTGATGGGAAATTCTTAGAGCATGAGTAGTTCTTTTCTGATCTTATTTTGGGTCTCAGAAAAATAGGGGCAGTGGAACATTGAGTCATTTTCAGTGAAAAGTTGAGTTCCGCTCAGACTTCAAAAGAGTGTGTGCCTTTTGCCGTGTGTGCCTTGGGCGTGGTGTGTGGTTTTCCTTCAGACCGTGTGGCCGTCCCTGGGCCCAGGTGGGCCAGGCACCCGGAGAGGGCCGGGAGGGGGGGTTGAGGTGGCGGCAGGTGGGGGTCTTTGTGCAGCTGCTGGAACGCGTCTCCCCAGGACCCCCTTGCCCCTGGCTCTTTATTGGTAAGGTTGGGGTTGGAGGGGGAGAAGCGGGGGAAGACCTCCAAGCTGGGTCTGGGGGCACAGGAGGTAAAACCAGGTGACACACTAAATCCAGGTGCGCTCAGGGTCAGTGGGCTGGGCTTGGCCAGATGGCAGGTGGCAGGATTCGGTGTTCCGTTCACCCACCTTTTCCCTCTGAGACCTGCGGGCCTTGGGGAAGGAGAGGCTGGGGGTGTGAGTTTGGGGGGCTGCACCAGTCTGGGGGACTAGGGTCCAGTTCTGATCTTAGCTCTGGGGCCCAATGCTTTGCAGCTGCCACCCCCACCCCGGCAGCTTGCTCTGGGATCGTGGCCCTCAGTAAGGTGCTTGGCGGCAGAGGCCTCCTGCTCCTGCAGGACGCCTGTCCGTCACCAGGACGCCTGTCCCAGCCCCGCAGCTGCTCCTTGGTCCTGCTAAGTGGGAGGCCTTGCTTCCCTCTGGTGTGCCTTGGGGGTCTCGCCCTCTGTGGACCAGCTTCAGGAACAGTGGGGTTTGGCTGCCAGCCAGCCATCTGGCCTTGCTGACACCCGCCGAGGTCAGGGCGCTCCACCCTGTGGGTTCAGTGAGAGGCAGAAGGAGACACAGGCACACAGCCCAGCCCAGCAGCACCCTGGCCAGTCAGTCCTCAGCCCCGTCCAGGGTGCCGTCCACGAGGTGGCTGGGTCTGTGGACTGGGAGGGCCAGCCTTGGCCATCCCTGCCTGGTTCAGCCCTCTCCGGGGCATCTTTGGAGGAGGTGCCATAGTGGGGACCCTGCAGCCCTCCCCCTGTGTCCTCAGCTTTGCTGCGAGGTGCAGTGAGGTGGGGGTGTCCGGGGAGGCTTTGCGGAGGTGGGTGGGATGTTTTTGGCAGCCGGGCATCTTTCTCTCCCGCATATCTGGCCACGCCCTGCGTGGACATGGAGGGTCTCCCAGGAGACCCCTTCATCTTGGGGAGCGCGGGTGGGGCTGAGCTGCAGGAAGTGGTGTGGATGGGCCTGGGGGCCAGCCGGTCACTGTTCTTTGTACCTTTAGGGGCTGAAGATGCTCTGGAAAGCGGCCTGAGAGCTCATGGGGGCCCCGCCACCAAGCACACACCTGAGAAGCGGCCGGTGCCTGTTCGGAGGAAAAGAAGCATCGGTGAGCTGGGGCCGGGCCCGGAGAGGGGCCTCGGGGGAGCCTGCCTCTTCCTCCTTAAAACAAAGGCCCAGCCTGCTCAGGGGCTCCTCCCTCCTGCAGGGGTGCCTCCCTGCCCCAGCCTGGCCCTGCGAGAGCCCTGCGAGAGCCCTGCGAGAGCCCTGGAGGGGGAGCCGTCATAAATTCCTTAAGTGCCGGTCTTGTTGGGGCCTGCTCTCCGGGAGGCCTTGCTGGAAGTTGTCATGTTTCATCTCCAGTTCGTCACGTGCCGCCCGGGTGCTCCTGGTGGGAGCCGCGGCCCCGGAGCCGCCTGCGGGGCCCAGCTGGCCGCTCCCGAGGCCCCTCTGTGCCCCACCCCCAGGCTTGGCTCCTGGGCTCCGCCTTGGCATGGGTTTGGGGTGCTGGTTCCTGTCCCTCTCCCAGAGCCCAGGTCTGCTAGCTGAGGGGCCTCTGCGGGCTCTGTGCCCTCTTGCCTCGGGGTGCCATGGGGGCTGTGGCCCATTTGCCCCATGCCCTCAGGATGCGCCTGCTTTCGGTGGCCGTACTCTGAGCCCTGACTGCGACCTCGGGCCGGTGACTTCCCCCGAGCTTGTTTGCTCCCAGAAGATGGGCTTTGTCGCTTGTCCCTTTGAGCACGGTGTGTGGGTGAAGGGTCCTAGTGGAGCTAATCGGGCTGTCCCCAGGTGATACTGCTGCGGCCACATGGGTCACTCCTCCAGCCCACACCAGGGCCAGTGCTCAGCCAGGGCTGCAGAACCCTTGGGCCGGCCCGTCCTGCCCCAGTGGGGAGGCGTGTCCTCGGGCACAGTAAAGGGCTGGACCAAAGGCCTCCCCCGGCTCCATCCCCTGGCCTCCTGTCCGGTTCCCGGGCCCCTCTCACCGTCCCCTCCGTGGGACAGCCAGGCCCCTGCTTCCGGACCTCCCAGTTCAGTGGCTTGTTCTGGGGGGTGCAGGGTCCCTCCTGGGAGGTCTCACCCTGGCAGAGGAGGGGCGTCTGACACCCCCAGCGGCACCTCGTGCTCCTCTTACCTGAGACGGAGCTCCCAGCTCCCTGCTGGCCGCGGGCGAGTGAGTCTGGGTGTCGAGGACGGGGCGCGCCTGCGGGGCGGGGCCCTCATCCCCAGGGAGGCTCCTTGCAGCTCTGCTCGGGGTCCCAGGGCCCTGAGTGTTGCTCGGGTGACAGCTTCAGTGAGCGGTCTGTCTGGGTGCCCTGAGCATGTGTCTGGGCAGCAGGGCCTCCAGGTGGCCAGTCTCCTTGGCTGGATGTTGCCAGGCAGCCATTACACAAGCCCAGCTGGGCCGGGAGGCCGTGTGCTGGGGTCTGGGGTGGGCTTCTCGTCCATCAGTCCCACCCTGATGTCCGTAGGAGTTGAGGGCTTTGGGCTGGACTGGCTGACGTGCTGAGGAGCACAGACAGGGCCTGTGGCCAATGTGGGGTCCTCACAGTGGGCTTCCCTTTTAGGAGCAGGTCCCCTCCCCCAGGCCCCTGTGACACCCCTCCCCCAGGCCCCTGTGACACCCCCTCCCCAGGCCCCCCTGACACCCCTCCCCCAGGTCCCCTGACACCCCTCCCCCAGGCTCCCCTGACACCCCTCCCCCAGGTCCCCTGACACCCCTCCCCCAGGCCCCTGTGACACCCCCTCCCCCAGGCCCCCCTGACACCCCTCCCCCAGGTCCCTGTGACACCCCCCCAGGCTCCCTGTGACACCCGCCCCAGTCTCCTGTGACACCCTCCCCAGGCCCTCAACTGATACCCCTCCCCCAGAGCCCGTGACACCCCCTCCCCCAGGCCCCCGTGACACCCCCTCCCCCAGGCCCCTGTGACACCCCTCCCCCAGGTCCCCTGACACCCCTCCCCCAGGTCCCCTGACACCCCTCCCCAGGCCCCCGTGACACCCCCCCACAGCAAACCAGACGGGATGGTGCAGAGCAGCCTGGGCATGAGCCCTGGAGACCGGACCACCTCCTGTGGGGTCTGCGGGAGGGGGCCTGGCCCTGGGCACCCTGGGCTGCGTCGTGCTCTGCCCAGTGGCTCCCTGGCTTGTCAGCCTCCTTCCCTCTGCCCGGCTGTGCACCCCCTACCTCCTGGCACATAGGGGTCCCTCCTGTTTGACCCCAGTCCTTTCCTGCCCCCCCCCGGCCCTCGCACTCCTGCTCCGCTGGGACGGCTCAGCAGCACCCTGGGGTGTGGGGGACCCTGGGCTGTGACACGTCACATTGGAGGCAGCAGCAGCCACACTCCCAGCAGCCCCAGGCCCAGCCCTTGGAGCTGCTTCAGCTCTGGGGTTTGGGGGTTCGGCCTCCACGCTCACCCAGGCTCCTTCTCCACAGAGGAGGCCGTCCCCGCTGTCTGCAAGACGAGGACGGTCATCTACGAGATACCGCGGAGCCAGGTGGACCCCACGTCCGCCAACTTTCTGATCTGGCCGCCGTGCGTGGAGGTGAGGCGCTGTACCGGCTGCTGCAACACCAGCAGCGTCAAGTGTCAGCCGTCGCGCGTGCACCACCGCAGCGTCAAGGTGAGCCCGCGCCCGGCGGGAGGGCGCGCGGTGGGCCGTCTCCTGCTCTGGGGTCCCTCCCTGCACCCCACGCAGCCTCTCGCAGGGAGCAGCTGTGCAGAAGGACACCTTTCTTCTCAAAGGCAGCCTCGGGGAGTCCCCGCAGCCCGCACTGAGCCCAGAACCTCTCCCAGAACACGGGAGTCGGGGAGAAGGTGCCGGGGTGGCCCTGGGCTCGCTGCCTGTACATCAGGAGGGTACCCCCTTCTACTCAGATGCGGGTGTCCATGGAGTGTGTCTCTGGGAGGGCCCTTCTCGGGGCGCGGCGAGGCCAAGCCTGTCCCCTTTCAGGAGGGACGGGGGACGACCGCCCTCACCACCACCTGTGCTCACTGAGGCCGAGCCCTCTGCGCCCTGGGCCAGGGCTGGCTGAGGGACCCAGGGCCGCTGGGCCGGGTGTGGGAAGGTCACGTGGGGGTTCCTTGTGCTCCCTGCCCGAGTCCTGGGAAAACCCTGCTTCCTCAGTCACTCGGGGCGGCCACGTTGGGGCTGGCTGTGGCCCAGTGGCTGGAAGCTTCTGTCGGGGCCTGGGTCCCCCCTGACCAGCCTCACGTGTCTCCTCTGTGAAATGGGTCTAAAACATGACACCTGGGTGTCTGGCCTGTGAAACTCCCTAGAGAGCCTGGGGCAGGGCCGTCCTGTTTGCCAGGAGGCTTCTGCGTCTGGACCTCAGTCCCTGCCTGGCCCTTTGCAGGACAGGACTAGAGGGAGGCCTGGGTGTCTCCTGGCTTCTCGGAAGGGAGGCGGAGGCTGGAGGGGTCAGGGGCTCCCCATCTAGGCTCTGGGTGGGTTAGGACCCTGGGGCGTGGGTCCTTCCCTGGGCCGCGGGCCTGCACCCTCCCCCTGGGCCTTGCTGGCAGGTGGGCCATTTTCCGGGGTTGAAGATGTCAGCCTGGGGCTGCCGTAGGACTCATTCCTTGACGACTAGTCATTCCAAACCCTCGACGTCAGCCCCTGGCCTCCGCGTGAGGTGCAGGGGAAACACTTCCTCGGTGAAGGGCCGTGTCGCCGGCCGGGCCACTTGTCACATGAGAAGGCCCTTTAGACCCGTAACCGGGACCAGACTTGACCTCGGGGACGAGGTCTCTGCCCCACCTGGGAGCTGAGCAAGCACATTCCACAGCCTGTGGCCCCACGGTCTGCAAGGCCCACACGCTGTGCTCCCGGCCCCGGGTGTTGGCTGCTCTCGGGGCGGGGAGAGCTGTGCCCGGGGCGCAGGCCCCACGGCCTCCACCTGCCCAGCTGGGGTCATGGTCAGCCCAAAGGGGGACAGGGGCTCCACCCGCATTTGGAGACCAGGCAGGCGGGTCCCTGCTCCGCTCAGGCTCGGGGCTATCCCTCCGCCCTGCCCACCCATCCGAGGGTTGGCAGGAAAACATCCGGCCCCAGACACTGGGGTTCTGGCTGAAAGGGGACAAAAGGTCAGTGGGAACAGGGGGCCCATTGTGGAGGCCAACCGGCCTGGCCAGAAGTCTGTCCCCGCTCTACTTGGGGTTGAGACAGAGCAGGCCCTTGGCATCCGAGCCCCAGTTGGGCCTGGTGGGTGCCGGCAGGCGGGATCCTGGCCGGGTGGCACTTTCCTGGTTTCTGGCCTTTGGAGTCACAGAGGCTCCTTATAAACGGAGATGACAGTCAGGCTGGGTGTGGCCACCCTGTCGATGCCCAGGAAGGTGGACTGTTGAGCATGAGCTCGGCTCAAGGCTGCCCAGTGGACCCCAGACCCTGGGTGTCAGGACGTGCTGGGGTCGATGGCCAGCCCCCCACCTTCATCTTCATGAGATCACAGGCCTAGGGCCTGGGGCAGGGCTCACCTGTCCTCTGGGGCCTGTGCCCCCTCCCCTGTGGCAGCTCGATGGAAGGATCTAGAGGCAGGGGCCCAGCACCCCCACAGGACCCCAGGGTAGCCAGGGACAGCTGCTGTCAGGTAGGCCGGGGTTCTGGGGGGTTGACGTCCCTGCTCTGGGCTTGCTGAGGTCAGCATTACTGTCCACTCCCTGATTGGCTTCCCCGAGGAACTGACATCGGACCCTGTCCCGCAGGCCACGCCTGGGGTTAGTTTGGTGGTGGCCGTGACTGGTGTCCCCGGGGCCCGTGCAGATGTGGTCACAGGAAGGAGCGGCTGTGAGCTCCGTCTCCCGTGGAAGAAGCTGCAGGGCCGCCTCCCGCCTGGTCTGAGGGCTCCTGTGGCGTGAGCCGAGGTCCATCAGGAAATGCACGTGGGCAGCCCCCCAGGTCTCCAGGACCCAGCTCTGCTTTGCTAGACTCTGGGAAGCAGGTCTGGGGGTCCTCACGGGGTGCCAGGGATGGGCCTCGACACCCGTGGTGGAGGTAGAGGGGCCCTTTGGGGCCTCATGGCTGTGTGGTCCAGTGTAGGGCCTGAGGGAGAATTGGGAGGCTTGGGGGGCGAAGTGTCATTTCCAGGGAGAGCCTCTGAGCCCCCGTGGGCAGGGGTGCCTGTGCTGGTGTGGGGAGCCCGTGGGCAGGGAGGCCACGCCTTGGGCCTTGGGTGCTGGAAGCGGCGGCCTAGTTCTCAGTCCGCTCAGGAGCCTGGGGTCTGTCCTCCCACCCGCATCTGCCTCCCGCCGGTGGAGGGGAGAAGGGGTCCCCTCACTCTGTCGGTCCGCATGGCCCTGGGGTTAGCTGTGGGGCCGGGGAGGGGACACAGAGAAGCCATGTCTGGAGCAGCGGCTCCGGAGCTGTCACACCGGTGGGGACAGGTTTCCTCGACTTGGGGGGCCCCTGGTTAAGGACGAGCTCGGGGCGGCTGTTTGCAGGTCCAGCCCCTTCCCCGCGGCAGAAGCCGCCTTGTCTGCTGCCTCAGCCTCCTCGCTGGGAAGTGGGCGCACTGAGCTCGCGGGGTGGCTGTGAGCCGCACAGAGGTGCATGGGGGGCACAGTCACTGCTGCGGTGGGCCGGTCGGGACTGACCTGGGGTCCCTCAGGGCCTCCCGCCTCCTGGCAGCCCAGCCTGGGAGCTGGAGCCTTCTGTGTGCAGCCTCCCCTGTGCAGAGGGGAGACGTCCCCTCATTTCCGGTGCATCAGCCGGTGGTTCAGGGCGCAGACACCCCCAGTGGTGGGCAGTTGAAATGTCTGTTTTGTGAGGTGCAGTCCAGGCATCGAGACACAAACGGGGAAGGAAGGGACATGGGAACCCCACCTGGGCCCCAGTGTGGGTCCGGGGGCCGAGGTTACAGGAATGGGGTTCCTAGGACGAAATGTGTCATTCTGTGGACCTGGCTGGAGCGGAGGGTGCTTCAGAGAATTTAATATTCACGGCGTGTTCTTGGGGGAAATGTAGCCATTTCCTGCCCAGACAGGTGCGGGGCATCCTGGAATCCCTGGGGACCCAGGTGCACCCTCAGTCTTTTTTCTTTGATAAAAACAGACCGTCTGAAGAGAGCGGTTCTCAGCCGGAGGTGGCCAGTGTTGTGTGAGCTTTGCAGAGGGACTGGGTGGGGAGGTGTTTCCGGAGGGTCCACCCTGCCCTGAGGTAGAGCGCTCCCTGCTCCCTGTGCCCAGGAGTTGGGGGTCTCGGCTGAGCTGGGGCTCGGCATCTGTCCCCCAGGGGAAACTGGGTGAGGCCTGGGACCAGCGCAGGACACCTGCCCGCCTGCCCCGCCTCCTGTGTGTCCAGCGGAGGCCAAGGGGATGGAAGGAGCCTGTGGAGGGGGTGCATGGGCACTCAGCCAGCGGCCATGGCGGGGCGTGGGCTGGCCTTTGGGTCCCACCTGCTTGGGCTCAGGGGAGGGGGTCAGGGAGCTGCGGCCCCCAGGTGTTGCCTAGGCAGACTTGTTCCTGTTCGAGGAAGGCTGGCGCGTGGCCAGGGTGCAGGCAGGAGCCGGGGGGCTGACTTTGGTGAGAGGAGCCTGTGTGGAAGTCTGGACACCGGGGTCGCTCGGGAAGGCAGCTCAGTCCCAAGTTCCAGGTGCTTCTACGAGAGTGACCTTGTCTGTTCTCCCTGGGACCCTGGGACCCTGCTCCCACTTTGCAGGCCGGAAGGCAGGGCTCCGCCCACGGGGCCCGTGGACATTTCTCAGGCTCAGTCCCTGGCGAAGGGCAGGTGGGTGGGCGGCGTGTCCCAGGTCTTGGGGGTCAGCTTCTCTTCATTCTCCACTCAGGAAACCTCCCAGGCCTGGCCCAAACCCAGGGTGGCTCTGGGGCCCCACCCCCCACCCCCAGCTCGTACCCGGCCACGGGGTTCACCATGTCACAGGGTCGCCAGCCAGGTGCCCACAATCTGCGCGGAGGGTTAACTGCGAATGTAGCTGAGGGGCCCCGGCCGGGCCTGGGCGAACCTTCGGGCCGCTGGCCTGTGGGCTGGGTCCCGGTGGTCGGTGCGGGCTGACCTCACTCCCAGGGTCATCCGCTCTGTGGACTTCAGGCCTCCGCAGAGTCAGCGAAGGTCCTCCTCTCCCCTTTCCCAGCTGCCCTGGGCCAGAGTCTGCTGCCCCGCCCCCGCCAGCTCCGCATGGCCCTCTACGTGCTTGGGGTGACGCCTGTGGGTGTTGCTCCCCTTCCGCCTCAGTTTCCCCAGATGAACAACAAGGGGATGAGTGGGTGTCTGAGGTCTGGGCCCTGGGTCCCAGTGGGCAGTGGGCCTGTATGTGTGCCGTGCCCCTGGCTCTGTGTGGGGCCTGGGGCCAGCGGGCGGCTGTGGTGGTGCCTGCTGGGGACCCAGCCCCGGCTGTGGCCTTTGGGATGGGAAAGTCTCCTGTCACCTCCTGTCCACACACACGGGCAGTTGAGGAGGGAGTGGTGGCTGGTGGTGCTCACTGGTCGGGCTTCAAGTCTGAGGGCCAGGTGTGCGTGAGGCCGAGGTCCTAGGACGGGCTGTGTGCTCTGGGTGTGTGTGTATGCGTGTGAGGCCGAGGTCCTAGGACGGGCTGTGTGCTGGGTGTGTGTACGCGTGTGAGGCTGAGGTCCTAGGACGGGCTGTGTGCTGGGTGTGTGTACGTGTGTGAGGCCGAGGTCCTAGGACGGGCTGTGTGCTGGGTGTGTGTACGCGTGTGAGGCTGAGGTCTCGTGATCAGGCGTGTGCACTGGGTGTGTGCATGTGTGTGTGTGCCTCTGTGTAGGGCGGAGCTGCATGCCCAGGACGGATTAGCCGGTGTCCTGGGGTCCGTGGGGATGAGACCTGGAGGCTCCCCTTCTTGCCTGGACTTGGGGCCATTTTCCCCTGCGAGTCCTCCGGGTAGTGGGCCCGCCCCGTGGTTCTGTCTGGAGAGTGCTGGCCGGCAAGGCCACGGATGGGACTGAAGAGGTACCGACCCCTGGGACAGTCCCAGGTCTCTGCCCACATCGCCTCCAAGTCCACAGAGGCCTGTGGCCTGGCGTCCAGAGAAGGCCTCCTGCATGGGACTGAGGCTGTGGGGCGGCCTGGCCCAGCCGGTCTGGTGGGGGGTCCTTGGGGCAGGCTGTGTGGCCTGGGGCCGTGCCGGCTCTTGGGGGGGGGGGGGCTGCAGGAAGGAGAAGGAGGGAGGGTGATGGCTGGGGGGGAGCACACAGCAGGGTCGCCCCTGCCCTGGCCGGGGTCCCCCTGTGATAACCAAGGACACACTGGAGGGCATTGCCTTGTACCCCAGATGCCCCCAAAACATGGAATCATCCCTCCCAGGCTCCCCCTGAAGCGCACCCTCAGGCTGCTGGCACGCGGGTTATCGGGGGAATCAGGACCAGACCACAAATGCCGCCTGGGGCTTGTTTCCACCCGCACCCCTGCCTGGAGGTCAGGCGCCTCCTGGCCTGGGGGCGAGGGGCTCACCCGGCCTGTCGTCCTGCAGGTGGCCAAGGTGGAGTACATCAGGAAGAAGCCAAAGTTGAAAGAAGTGCAGGTGCGGCTGGAGGAGCACTTGGAGTGCACGTGTGTGCCCAGCAGCCCGAGCCCGGACCCCCGGGAGGAGGAGGCAGGTGAGCGGCAGGCGCTCCCCTTGGCTGGGCTCCCGGGCGTGGGCGCGGCGGGCTGGGGATCGGGGCGGCCCCGAGGCCAGTCAGCTGCTTGCTGACCCTGGGCACCTGCGTGGGTGGATTCTGTCCCTGGGACGGGCGGGAGGCGGGCGAGCTGTTGGCTCTGGCAGGGAGGCAGAGGCTGCGGGGCGGAGGGGTGGGGGTGTCTGAAGTTTCTGGCCCTGGTCAGCAGGGCTGGTTGGGGGCGCAGGGGAGATGTGTGTGCGGAAGGTCGCCACCAGGTGGGACGTCGGCTGCCGGGTCGCTGGCTGCAGCATGGCCAGGGGTCTCGGCCTTCCCCAGCGGGCAGACCGTCCGGGAGCAGGATGGTCAGGGGGCCAGGCTGGGGCCCAGGGAGAGTCCACACCTGCACGCATGGAGGTAGTTTTCTTCCAGAAAGACCAGCGGCTCAGGTGTTCCTTACTTCAGTGCCCCCTGCCTGCCTGCCCTCGGGCCGCTCACTCTGCCTGCCCTTCTGTTAACAGGAAGGCGTAGGGAGTCAGGTAAAAAGCGGAAAAGAAAAAGGTTAAAACCCACCTAACAAGCCAACCAGGTAGGAGCTGTCGCTGGATGGGCCGTGTCCGCGGGGGCGGTGCGATGACTGATCAGGGCGAATCACCGCGGACGAGGCCCTGATCGGCCCTGATTGCTTCTGCTCTGGCTGTGGGTCTCCCGCTTGGTCCCGACTCCTCCCTCCCTTCGCCCAGAAGTCTGGCCCACAGCCCTTCTGGCCCGGAGGCCCCGCTCTGGCTTTGGTCCTTTCGTTGATTGGGGGCATCTAATGAGCCGAGTGATTGGGGTTTGCTGGGTAGCCCTGGAATCAGCTCGGGCAGCGTGACCTCCCCACTAGACAGGTAAAAACACAGGCTTATGGGCGCTGCAGTTAAGGGTTGTCAGAGGCTGGACAGATCTTTGAGGGTAGATACTCCCGTCTCATGTACAGAGAGGGAAACCAGACCATGTCGTCATCGGGGGCTGCTAGAGCTCCAGGAATCACACCCACGCTCCAGGCTAAAAGAGAGTAGGGTGGGGAGAAGGGTAAAACAACCTTCTTCGAGAAATGCCACCCGAGACCTTCACTTGACCGCACGGCCGTCGCTCAGCAGCAAGGGGGTGTGGGAAATGCAGGCTCGCAGGGGGCTTGCTGCCTCCACAGCGGCCCGGAGCGGCCAGCGCCAGGCCTCCAGAGCCTTGGTTTGGCCTCTGGCTCTGGAGAGCTGGTCCTCCGTGGCGTCCACAGCACATGGTGGCGGAAGGACTCCCTGGACACAGGGCATCGAGGGGGCTGTGGTTGGCAGTGTGGCTGCAGGAAGCTCCCAGGTCAGGAGATGTTGAGGCGTGTGAGTCAGGCACATTACTGAGGATAGTCTGAGGGGGAAAGGCCCAGGTGGAGGGCCCACGGGTGTGGGCGGTTTTGTGCTGTCTGTGCATCTACCGACCACTGGGCTCCGGCCTCCATGGGCCAGCCGATGGCAGAGACCAGAGTGAGAGGCAGGTGTCCCTGCTGTCCCGGCCCTGCTAACACTCAGGCTTTGGGCACGTGGCTGGTGTTAGAATGACCAGGGGACAGGACGTAGCACGGGACGAGCTGCTCTCAGCTCAGAGCTCGGTGTAGGTCTGCCTGGTCAGAGGCCCCTCCTTTGGCTGGTGGTATCCATCCTCAGGGTTGCCTCATGGCCCAATGTGGCTGCCAGAGCTCCAGGAATCACATCAAGCCCTCAGCTGGAAGAAAGTGGAAGTTGAGAAGAACTTTTCTGGGGCTCAGTTTCCCCTATGTGTACAAGAGAATTACTCTCAAGCCTTATTCTTTTGTGAGATCCTGAGATCCTAGTTCCAGCTCTGGTCAGGATGTTACAGAAAGGGTAACAAACCCTGTGTGGTGTGAAAAATTTCACGAAAACTTCGGATCCTAAGACTGGCTGCTGTGTGTGTGCGCGCGTGTGTGCACATGCGTGTGCGTGCGTGTGCCCTTGGTCAGGTTGAGAGTTCGCTCGGTGTGGTTGTCATGGTCCCATCTCATTGCCTGTCTCTCCCTCTCCCTGCAGATGTGAGGTGAGGATAAGCTAGCAGCCCTTTCCCGGGACATGGATGTACATGGCGTGTTACATTCCTGAACCTACTATGTACGGTGCTTATTGCCAGCGTGTGGTCTTTGTTCTCCTCCGTGAAAAACTGTCTCCATGCACACTCTGGAGAACAAAGAGACGTATGCGTTTGTTTAATGTGACATCAAAGCAAGTATTGTAGCACTCGGTGAGACAGTGAGAGCTTCCTTGTCGAGAGAGAGCAAACAGCCACGGAACCCGACCGACAGAACTGACTCAACAATGCCCAGACAGCCGCGGGAATGGAGGGCGCCCTGTGGGACGGCAGCGACGGATGCCTCGGTGGACGGATTTCTGTCCAGGGTGGTCACAGGTGCTTTTGCCAAGGACACGGACGGAGCCCGCTCTCCTGGAGGACGGACAGGTGCCACGGCTCTGCAGGGGTGCGCAGGAGCGGGTGTCTCGGAAACCGCCACGGGACTTTAGAAACCACATCTCCTTGCTGTAGTGTTTAAGTCTATACGGAACCTTCCTGAGAGCCTTAAGTGGGGTTTGTTTGTTTGTTTTTTTTTTTACACCATAAAGTGATTATTAAGCTTTCCTTTTTACTCTTTGCCTAGCTTTTTTTTTTTTTAAATTATCTCTTGGATGACATTGACACCAATAACACCGGCTGCTGTGACAGTCAGGACAGGGAGATGGTGTTTCCTGGCGGGGTGCGAGCAAACGGAAAGATGTATTAAAATAAACATGGTACACCCACCTGTGCATCATTTCCTAGATGTTTCTGACTTGACGTGCTTCTCCCTCCCCGTCTTGCTCTGCTTTTTAATTTAAGCCATTTTGAGACAACTATGCGTGAACCAATCAAATGCTGCCCGGTCTCCTGTCCCCGTGCGCTCGCCGGTGGCTGGGAGGTGGCGACTGCCTGTGTGTGCACACAACCTAAATTCTTTATTTTTGGTAAGATGTTACGCTTTTCCGTGTACTCAAGAGAAATGTGCGTGTGTTGTTTTTTGTTTTTGTTTTGTAAAGGTGAAGTTTGTATTTTTATCTAATATGACCATTTTGCATACCTGAGAGCCTGCTATGTTTTTGTTTTTGTTTTTTGAACCAAAAGATGAAAAAAGCACCAACAAAACCCATACACGTGAAATGCATTTCGTGGTCACCGTCTTCTAGTTGCGTAACTTGAGTCTTGGTCCTGCCTCTGGTCCCGGCCCGAGGTGCAGCTGCTGGGGCACCCGGGTGGTCCATGGGGGGAGGAGAGCCTTCTGGGCCGGCGGCGTCCCTGGGCCTCCTGCCCTTGGGACCGGAGCCTCGCTGGTGCCTGTAGCCCTCGGAGATGGAGGCCCTGCACCCGCCAGAGCAGCCACGGGGATGGAGGAGGTAACCTCACTCCCCGAGCCAGCCAGCTGCCGTCCCAACCTCGAGGCTGCCCAGCGTGTGGCCAGCAAGATCCTTTTGCCTGTGGGGCTGTTTCTGGTGTCCATCATGTGTTTGCGGGGGATTTTTTATAAAGAAATTCCTCCAGCACACATTTTCTACACTTGGTTCTCAGAACGACACCTCGAGGGGCCGGTGGGGAGGGGGACTGGTGGGCAGGAGGCTGTGGCCCCTGGTTCTCACCCTGGGCCCGGCCGGTGCCTCGGGCAGCACTGTTTGGACCCTGAGCCCGTGAGTGCGTGATGTGAGATGTGTAAACGTCGTTTGTGTATTCGTGTCCGTGATGCACTGAGAATCCTGCTCAGTTTTCCTTCACGCGACACCGGCTGACGAACGGCCTACGGAGCCTGTGCTCGGGGAGGGGGAGGTGCCACCAGGAGGGTCCAGGGTTGAAGTCGGTGGCAGTGGGGACTTGGGCTGCCTGGTGGGTTGAGCTACGTCCATGCAGCCTGCAGGCTTTGCCCTGCATTCCTGGTATTTTCCGCCCCTCACCGGCACCTCACCGGCACAGTCACCTTGGGCTGCATCTGGGTGTGGCTGGGCTGGCTCTTTGTAGTCTTTGAGCCAGAGGCCTCTGTCGGGGCCCGAGTGGCCTGCAGCTCAGGCAGAGCGAGGGTCAGCCACGCCGAGGACAGAGGAGGGGGCCCTGGCCCTGCTGGGGTCTCGGTTGTCTGCCTCCTTGTGCAGAAATGGGTCACACCTGCCCCGCCTTGTCCTTGTTTCTGCAGTTCGGGGCTTGGGAGCTCTGGGGCAGCGGCCTGTCCACCTGTCCACATGCTTGGAGACCCCTGGTGACGTGGTCACACCCATCCTTGCCTTGTGTTGGTTCTGTTGGGTTGTGAGATCCGGGTTCCAGGGGGTGGGTTTGCCCTGTAATGTGGGCATCTCCCTCTGCCTCCGTGTCTGCTCTGTGAGGGGAGTGGACCTGGTTGGAGAGCAGCTGTCCTGCTGGCCCCCAGGTGCCGCGTCTCCTCCAGCTGCTGGCCCAGGCCAGGCTCAGACAGTCTGGGTGCGCTTGGCCTCGGGTCCCTCCAACCCCGTCCTGGAGAGGGAGCTGTGCCCTAGGCATGTCCTTAACCCTCTCAGATGACCCTGAGCGGGGAGCAGTGATGGGGAACCCAGCGTTTTCCGGGGGGGCAGCAGGTGTGTCGAAGGGCTCATTCTGTCTCGGGGCCTGGTTTCGGTGGAGGTGTGAGCCAGGTAGGAGGTGCCCCTGGCCGGGGTGGGTGTGTATCAGCTGAGGGATGTATTGAAAGTCCAGCTAGTTATGCTCTGCAGTGATACAAAGTTTCACTTAAAAGAATGTTGATTTAAATGAACAATTGAGGGGAAATAGGTCAGGCAGGGCCCCCTCCAGGGGACACCCATCGGGGAGGAGTCGTGGGCGTGGATGTGTCCGAAACCACAGTGCAGGGTGCTGGGTCCCAGTTTCCGGGCCGTGGGCGTGGCTGTCTCTGGGGTCCTGTCACCTCCTGCGCCGCTGAGAATCCTGTTCTGAGAATGAAATTGGGAACCTGGGACGGGCCCTGCCAGCCGGGGGACCTGACGTCCTGCCAGCCTCATGACCCAGTGGCTGGGGAGCACAGTGAGCATCGCAGTCCCACCGGCGGGGACCCCCAGGGGTCAGCATGTGGCCCTCCTGGGCTCTTCCTCGCCCTGACCGCCCAGCAGTGTGGCCTTGGGCATCTCGCCATGACACCTTGGGTGTCTCATACGACCTTGGATGACCTTGTCATGTGATTTTGGCGGGTAGGTCATTTCTTTGTTCTCAGAAACTCCTGCTGGTGGCTGTGCTGGGAAGGAGTCTGGGGTCCCCCTCCCCCACCTCTGCAGTTTGGAGGGGTGGGGATGGAGCTGCCCATGGAGACCGCTTTGCAGCCAGCTGTCAGCCTTGAGCGGCTCCCCAATGGGGAGGTCAGTGTGCGCCCGCCCTCCATCAGCCCTGCTGCGTGGGCAGTAGGACGGCGTGTGAGCTGAGGGGGTGGGCCGGGGGACCCCAGACGAGGTGGTGAAGACTTCGACGCCCCCCTCCTGCCCGGCCCATGTGGGGGTCTGGGCCCCCCGCCCTCTCTGGCCCGTGATCTCCACATCAGTCTGGACCCTTGGGGGTAGGGCTGGAGCTAAGTCTCCTCTGGGTCCCCAGGTGGTCCCTGAAGGGGGCAGCAGGCTGTTTCATCAGAGCCTGGGTCAGGGCCCTGAGGGTACTGACAGAGGAGCTTCTGGGCTCACCCCTGGGTTGGGGGCCAGGACCAGCCTGGTCTTGGAGGTGACAGCCGTAGGCAGGAGCTGGCTTGTCACCCCACATTCTCCACCCCTCACCAGCGGCCTAGGCTGGAACCCACCCCCACTCCCCGAGGGGCCGGGGACGCAAAGCCTGTGGTTTCTGCAGAATAAAACTGTGACTGTTCCCGGCCAGGCCCTTGAGCTGCCAAAAATGTGTAGTATTCACGGCCTGGCCTCCGCCTGCGGTCTGGGCAGTGCTCCTGGGCCGCCCTGCCACGCCCAGGCACTGGCTGCCCAGCCGAGCAGAGTCCCCAGCCCGCTGGCCCCAGGGCCTCCCTGCCACCTGGCTCCGCACCACCTGGAAAGCCCTCTGGGACCTGGTGTGCGGGCAGACACAGAAAGGCTCCCTCCACGCCTCGGGCAGTGTCCAGGCAGGGGACACACGGCCGCTCCCGGCCTGGCAGAACTCTGCTGGGGCCGCAATCCTACCGCCTGGCCCCCGCCACAGGGCTGGGCTGCGAGCCCCTCACTCTTCCTGGGGGACGCAGCCCTCAGGGCCCCACAGCCAGGAGCACAGCACGGGGTGGGGGGGGCAGCCTGCCCTCAGCACTTAGAGGCTCTGGGCTGGCCATGCCCCTTGCAGTGTGGCCGTCAGAGGTCCCGGGTGGGCCAGACGGGCTGAGCCCCTTCGACTCTGCTGCACCACCCAAGTGCGCTGCCGGCCCCTCGGCCTGTGCGTGGGCCTGGGTGGGTGTCATCTTGGGGTGGCTCAGCGTGGTTCCCGGGCCTTTCCTGGTCCCAGCTCAGGGCCCTGGGGGAGAACACGCAGGTGTCGCCTGCAGAGCCGCCCCGCCCACCGCTCTGTCCCCAGGTTTCCTTGAGTTCCCAGGGCGGGGCTCCCCTCTCACAGCTGCGTTTCCGGAGAGAAAAGGGCTGCTGCAGACTTGCCAGGACCTGTGCTCCTAGAGGCGGCTGCCACCTGGGCTGGATGCAGGCTCTGCCCCTCTCAGCGGCCTCAGCTCAGCACCAGGGGCGCCGTGAACTCTGCCTGACCTCAGAGACACTTGCCCATTTTTTTCTGGTCCAGGACCCTCTGCCCTGCCCCCGGCACAGGCTGGCCGTGCCAACTCCTCTGTCCAAGCCCAGAACCAAAGCCAGGGTCATCCACACAGCCCTCCTCAGACTGCCTTCAGGAGCAGCGACGGAAACACCGGACCTGAACCCGAGACGGGTCTGCAGGGCTGTGGCCTGGTCTCAGAGGTTCGTCGGTCGGTTGGTTGGTTCACTCATTCATTCTCTTCCGAGCACACACCAAGCTGTCTCTGCTGCGGCCTGGCCTTGGGGGAGGTGTGATCTCACACAGGATCTCCGTGTCCTCGTCTGTAAGGTGACTGGGTCAGACCACAGGACCCCAGAGGCCCCAAATTGTATGCACAAAGTGATTTTTTTTGTAATCCTCACGTGGGGACATTTTTCCATGTTTTGTTCAGGTAGAGTGGGAGGGAGAGAGAGGAATAGAGAGAAACATCGACGTGAAAGGGGCACATTGAGTGGCCGTCTCCCTCACGACCTCGAGAGGAATAGAGAGAAACATCGACGTGAAAGGGGCACATTGAGTGGCCGTCTCCCTCACGACCTCAACCAGAGCCGGGGACGAATTGCAACCGAGGTACATGCCCTGGACTGGAATCGAACCCGCGACTCATTGGTCTGCGGGCTGAGGCTCTAACACTGAGCCAAACCGGCCAGGGCTCACAGGGTGATTTTTAAGTGACGTGTGATGAACGTTTATGACCATGTTCTATTCTCAGACTTGTGTAGTTTTAGCTCTTATACTTGGGTCTTGGATACATTTTGAGTTAATTTTTGTCTACGATGTGCTGTCATTCTTTTACGTGGACGTTCAGTTGTGCATTTAATAAAATGTTTTCATTGATTTT